CTATTCTGATTCAAATGTACTAAGATTACAATATTTTATTTATTAATGATAATTGTAATTATTTTAATTAATATAAGAATTTTTTGAAAATATTCAGGCATCATTTTGTTACGGGACTCACCCAAAAGGCCTAAACTTGAATGACTAACTGACCAATGGCCATTTGGATTAATTTAGGTTAGGATAGGTTAGGTTAGGTCAAGACACGTCTATTCCACAGTTTAATTAATATTATGTCCACTGGTCAGTTAGTTATTTGAGTTTGGGCCTTTTCGGTTGTAGGCCTTTTGGTGCAGATGTTATTTATACATTTTATGAACACTTATTTATACCCTTAAATTGAGCCGAAACATTTGGCTGTCATATTCATGAAGCACAAGATTTTCTCTATTTATCAGAACCTTTATAAGAATATATTTTTCTCAATATTATAAAATATAACTAAAATTAATGAAAATAACAAACCAAGGTAAAATGTTTTATTTATAATTATGATAAATAACTATTAAACTGGTATATGATTTTTGTAAATAAATAGTTAATAAATATATTAATTTGGCAAGCTAAATTATAATAAATATTTGAATTATATTACATTCATTCGTGATTTATATTTGACTCAAACAGTTAAGGATAGCAATGGTTTCGTGTAGTAATGGGGAGATAGAGGTGCAGATTAGGTGCCGCCGGGATCTCCAGTTATATACACCGAATAAGACGAATAATCGGACAAACAATCGATAAGTCAATATTGACAGTTATGGGCACCTGGATTCAAATATAGTTAGAGTTTAGCATTTAAAACACAACAAAATGCATAAAAATTTAAATTAATTTTATAATTATATTACAAATTCGAGGAATTCAATTAAAATCCGTATTTCAACGCTAGAAAAGTGTCGACTAATGGCAGGGAAAACAAAAAGTAATTTCGATATTTCAAATTTCAATAAATATTAGATAATTTTAATTCAATTTTAATACTTTTTCCGATAATATTAGAAAACGTTATTAATATTTTGTATAACATTTAAAATAGAATTGTTTATTAATTAATTTAATTAAATTAAAATCTTTAGAATTGAGTTAAAATTAATTTATATCGTAATTATATTCAATATGCCATTTTATTATATACTTATAAAATTAATATTTTAAAATACATTTGGATTGTGGTAGATTATACTAGAAGTTGAAGTTATTATATTTTAATTTTAAAACATTCACTATCGAAAAATGAAGTTTTACTTGATCATTTCAATTATCATGGTTAGCGCATTATATTGTAAGTAAATCATTTATTTTACAATTATTATTAAGGTTTCAATTAATTTTATAAATTTATAATAATTAACTATGATTTTAGATACCTACCCTTTGAACACAATTAATTCCATGACCACAGACATAATTATTAATTAATAATAGACTAATTATTATAACTTAAATATTTAAATACTGTACTATTAAAACATTGTCTTTTTAGTGCACATATTACATAAGTATTATTTAATTATATTTTTAATTAATTACTTTACTATTGATAATGTCTTTAAATATACAACTATTTCAACAATAAATTAAAATAAAATAAAATATGAATTGAATGTGAATCATAGCATTTTAGATGAACTTGATAACATTACGATGTGCATTACGATAAGTTTCTACTAATGATATCATTTAAACTGCACAATTTATATTGCACCTATATCATTTATCATTTATATCATTAGGCAGAGGACAGGTAGACTTGAATGACACTGTCATCGATGAGACGTTTAATGAACTCGAGTTTCTCGGAACCGGAAAAACTTTACCCGACACTCCGGATACCATTGACAGCTATTGTCAGTACATACGGAGTAATGCTAGCGAAGAGTAAGTGATCATGGTAACCATTTGTACTGAATATTTATGAAACGGCAGTTTAATGCTTTAAATAATCTGATATTCAAGGTTTAAGCAGTTGTTGAGTTCAATATAATAAACTAGCACATCTTAAACTAATGCTTATCTAATATCATGAATATTATTATACAATACATTTCATATGAATATTTTCTAGACATAACAGTGGCCTGTGGGCGGTGGCAAATAAATGGGCGGCCGGGCTCAGACCCGGGGTCAGGGACACCATCAATGGTTTTATCCAACTTGGCTTTTATGGTCGGATTGCTCTCAAAGGGTTTTGTCGACTAAACACTACTTCGGCTGTGACTGTGGCCAAGGGTTATAACTCGCGACTGGCTATAAGTCATTTGCTAAAGGATGCGACCATTGCCAAGATATCAAGAGCAGCAAGGCACAATAATAGAAACACCCTGACACGTATTCATAGGTACAGTATATGCCGTTTTAGTAATTATTTTCATTTTACTTCATTTAATACTGAAATATATGATGGAACTGTGCACATGTTATATAACCTTTATACATTTCCCAATATGTCCATTATATGTATCTCTTTTCCTGACCTAACATATAAATTAATAATATACAATGTATATACTAATATACTGATTTACATTTTTTGATACAAATCTAATAAATAATGAATGAATTTATGTCTCAATGTATAGCACATTGCGAGCGTATATTGACTTAATAGAGTTGGCCCACAATGAGAGCATAGAATTGAATGGATTTGCTTACGGTTTGGTTTTATCCAACAGGTATTGTCCATTAAGGTCGGGGATATAAATCATGTGTACACTAACCCCTACCCGTCAGACATCAGTGAGCCCAACAAATGTGAGCCAGGTAGTACACCTCAACCCAAGTCCACCACATATATAGTATTGGCCATATTAAATAAGTATAATTTTGTCAACTAATTCATGGCTAATGTTTGCGCAACAAATCGCTTACAGTTTATATATTTATTAAATATAAATTCAAAATTAAAATTGTTTTGTTTCTAAAATGTATATCTATTTTAAAAGATATTTACAAGTAATTTAATAT